ATTTTTTCATAAATAACTGTATTTTTTTAATTTTTTTTTTTTTGAGGAACGTTGAGTAATAATGGGCCCCCCAAGCCGAGGGTCCGTGACATTTGCACACATGTATGACACGCCACTGGTAATAATATTTGTAGAATAGCGAACAACAAAACTATGAAATGAAAAAACTCGTAACGTTCTCGGACGGTAGTTTTTGCGAGAAAAAGGAAAAATCACACATGAATAATTACAATAATACACACATACACATTAAATCATTAAAATTCACAAGATAATGTTTAAATGCGTGTGTGCAACTATCTATTTCGGTATATCACCGTAGAAAATTTCCTTTGGTGACCACGATTAGGTATTAGTAATTAAATCAGATGAGTGGCCTTTAATGGATGCACGTAAGTGGATAACTTTTAAATTTTTTGTAGTATTCAAGATAAACAAAAAAATAAAAACCCGTTTATGTATATTGTAATAGTGTACAGATAGTTAAGTTTTATGATTGTATTTAGTATTTAATAGTAGTTTTGAATATTTATGGGTATAGTAGTTAGTATTATTATGTAGTCATTGTTTTATTTTAACATGAATAGTATAAGTAGTTTTTATAATTGTTTTTATTCATATTTTTGTAAGTATTTAAAGATTTTCTCATTATACTTCTGAAAAAATTCCGTGGATCTCAACGAAGTGCACTGTTATATATCAAGTATATTTTTAGTTTGAGTAGTTATCATTAATTAGTTTTACTTTTTTGTGTTTATAATAGTTAGTAGTACTTGAAATTTTGTCTTAACACTAATTATGTGGTTAATTAGTAAAATAATATAGTATTAATAAGTAAAATAGAGTAAAGTAGTAGTTAGGCCTACTGGAAAAACCACAAGAAAAAACACTATGTGTAATACCTCATAATTTTAAGATAAATAACACAGTTGTAAACACGCTTATTATTTATTGTTTAAGCTTAATGGTTTTTAAGGTGGTATGGAAACTTACAAGTTTTAATGTATAATATTGTATACAATGTTTATAGGGAATGTTACATTTTTTTTTTTTTTGCCAAAAATACAAAATAAAGTCTAAATTATATTTTGGTGGTAAGCCAATTTCAGAAATAAATCATTAATTTTTATATCACTACAAAATTGGTTTTATTATAAACAAATATAAGAATGCTAGTCGGACAAATAATTGTTGCAAACTGAAACTACCAGCGGTGGTGTTCTTTCCGAAAATTATCATCAAAATGCAACCCATATATTGTTAAATTGATATTATCTCTATAGAATTCACAAGTTGTCACCTAAGTCTCGGTTTAGATATATATATATATATATATAGATATTTTATATATTTCAGATGTTTTTTATCTCGATCGAAACCGAAGATGATAAGGAGGCAGATATTGAGCGCCGAAAGATTGTGTTGGTACTTATAAATTATAAGTATTTTGTATTTTTTTTGTATGATAACGTGTGAATAAGTACATGAATATTTCTTCCGTATTCAGTGCATATAATTTCGGAACTTACTTATAATAAATAATTGGTAAGCCACGCGTACGCGGCAGCGATAACATTACCCGGTCATTGGTTAGTAATACTTTAAACTTTAATCGACGCCGCAGCCCAATCTATTCGATCCATACATATAATACATGAACATTGCATAAAAACAACGGAATCTTATCGTAGACCGATACGACCATTATTTGCGACCAGACTGCGAGTATAGAGTAAAATCCAAACTCAACCAACAACTTTCGTATGCATCACATTCCACGTGATATACATACACGCTACGGTTATCTCGCTGCTTTTATTACCGATATATTATCTAGCATAAAATTCCGAAATAACGTTCGTTGTCAATGTTAAAAGAGAGTTTTCGCACAACACCGGTTGAAAACCCCGTTGACGTAATTTACTAAAACGTGTTCGTGGGCATTCGCTCGAATACCGGTACGGTTATTCGATTATCGTAATCGGTTATTTTATGGCCCTCCGCACATTACGCGATTCACTGGCGATGTGATATTTGTCACGAGCGATATCCTAGCAGTGGCGTATATAGGTTTTCATTTCGGAGGAGGCCGATCATGTATTTGATTTTTGATGGGAAGGGAAGGAGGAAGCACACTATTACGACAAAAATTACTTGAACACTGTAAGACTTCTCGACTGTCTTTACACCGTCAGAGAATTAAGAAACTCGATATTTTTAACGATTTGTAATTTTAAAAAAATATAAAAAAATACATTGTAACAAGCAATTCGACAATCATCTACATTTTATTATTCTATTGTCATAATAGTAAAAAACTCCATATAATTTTTAATTTTATTTATTTTAAAAATACCACGTTAACTTCGTTGATTAGTGTGTTATTTTTTCTAAAAAATCCTATTGTGATCCGATCTCACGGTCTAGCCTATTAGGTCGGTGACCCTATTTGTATATCCTTATAAAGCGCCATATGAGTTACAACGGGATTCAAAGTGTCTGGTCACATTTTATATACTATTTATTTACATTTTGCACGTTGTAACCTTACACATTCATTGTAATAGTTGTACGTACAAACGAACATAATATCATTGATTATAAATACTATATACTTATTTACCTATTAACTAATTAACATATTTACTTATTGTATTACTGTAAATACAGATTGCAAATCTCTTTTTTAAATAAAAATGTTGTTTATTATAAAATATAAATAATACAACAATTTCCCATAAACTTGGTTGTTCGGAATCATTTGTTGATACTTTAATAGACACCTGATTTGAGAAAAAAAATTTAAAATTTCTCAAATGTGAAACGTTTATTAGCGTCTCTTCTCCTGCCACCACCTGCCCCTTCATCTTTAACACTTAGTTACAACTCTAAGCGCTTAGATCCAATGAAAATATGTAAGAGGGATCGTAATCTGAATAGGTAAAATTTTATTTTATTGAAAAAGAGGTTTTATTTTCATTCATATCAATAATGATTAATAATAATCAGTTACACCGGAAGTATTTTTTCAAAATAATAATAATAATAATTTTTTTAAATAACCGATTTTCTAAAAATTGAGTTTCATAATGAATGTTTTTGAAATTATTGAGAAAATCATAGAAGCAAACTCAGTAGGATAACATTTATTAAAACTTATAATCTCTTTTTTTTACTTTAATTTTTTTTTTTTTTAAATAAATTTTAAATTCATGTATTTGGTTTTGGTTATTTAAAAGTGTAAAAACCATATTAACTGATCGAGTTAATTAAACTAAAATTTAACTACATTTTACCTTAGTTATTATTCTTTTTTTTTGCTGTCTTTATAAAAAATTGATCCACATTAATTTTTTGATTCTGGTGAAATCAAGCATTAAAACTATATAATATGGTAATATTGTAAACTATATTTTTGAGTATTAATTTTTAAATTTAAGATATAATTTACAACATAAATTATAGATTTAAATTATATCTTTAATTTAAAAATAAATATTTAAATATGGTAGTATAAGTTACTAACAATATTGTCATACGAATCAAAATACCATATCGTATTAATATTTGATTCCATTAGAATCAACAAAGTTATGTGAATCGATTTTTATGAAGACTTAACAAAAAGAAAATAGTAACTGAAGATGGAATCTTAAAATAATAATGTTAATTTCGATAGAAATATTATGGTTTCAACTGATTATTATCAGTTATTGTTAATAATTATTATTAATTTGTTTACTTATGTCACTAGACCAATGTAAACAGTTCTGACTTTTGTTTAGATTTGATGATTACAATGTACACCCGTATAATTTATTTTACCACATATAGAATAAAAATAATTTTAAAATGAAGTACAATTTTAGTTATTCGGGATACGAGCCATTTTATACTATTTACTACAACCGGATTTTGATGCTTAAAGAGCTCAGAGTTGAGTTGTGTGTATTAAAAAAAAAAAATGGGCTGAAAGTGGTGGTGAGAACGGATAAATAGGTAAATAATCATTAGTCTATATTGTATGATGGAAATATTAATGGAGGTGGCTGTAGTGCTAGAAGTTCTACAAGTGAGTTCGTTACTACTAATTTTAATGGAAGTTTTGATGGTGCTGGTGGATTAATATGTGATTCCAGGCTACTTATGTCATTGGAGTTAGTGGTGGTGCTGGAGGCACTACAGATGACTCTTGGTGTGGAGGTGTTTTTGATGGAAGAGCGACCTCTTGTTCAGCATTATTTGTGACCTTACTAGAAATCTTCATATCGAAACGCTTTGGAATTTTTCTAATATTATTACCATCAAGTTTCCTCAATTGTTTGGCCATAAATTTCAATAGATCTGAATTGATTATATATGTCGAATGTTTAGAAGAAGGTCCTAATTTGGTTGATAATAATAGCGACGGTATTGATGGAGATGCTAATGGTAGTAAAGGTGTTATTGGTGTCACTGAAGGAGATGAATATGCTTGTTGATATTTTGTATCATCGTAATGAACGTCTATCATTGATTCAACTACTCCACCTCTTACGCTTAGACAATAACATAATATTCTGCATAATTTTTTGTGCGTTGGTCTGATTTGTCATACCTGCTTCTGAAAATACAATTTATGTAAAAATTAAACTTAATGTTCACCATAACCTTTATAAATAAACTTATCTTACTTTCAATCATAGACAGTCTCAATTTCAATTTGTTGTATTTATGACGAGTGTTAGTTTCGGTATCCACTTTATTTATATCTATAATAGTTATATTTAAATGCACAATGTAGAGTTAAATGTTAAATATTTTAATGATTCTGATTATAATTCTATGAAAATAAATGACATATTACTCTCATAAGAATTTAAAAATCTCTTGACGTCGTTCAAATTCTTCTTCATTTGACCTCTGTACTTTTTAAAAACTTTTTTGTTCACAGAATGTTTACGTATATTATCTAGGAACGAGTGAATTTTAATTACAATTGACCATTAAAAAAAAAAAAATTAAAAATTAAAATAAATTCTACTGATTTTCTTATTGATCATTCTGTTCGTCTGAACGAAATACTGTTTTTCGGTTTTTAATGCGTCCACGATCTTTTCAAGCTTATCTATCCGACTATTTGTTTTCTTGTAAACAGCTTCTGATTCAACTAAAAGTTTAATTTTACATCAAATATGCATCTCATAGTGATGGAATTTACATTTAGAATAATGTAAACTTGATTACAATTTTTGTTCCACGGTGATGTCGAAACTTCTGCACAAACTTGTAATTTGTCTATAATATTATTTAACTTGACATTTTGATTTAATATCAAGTCTGGGTAAAAATATCCAACAATTTATTACTGGGTATCTAGTTTTTAAATTATTAATTTATCAATAGTATAATATTATAATAATTCTATACCATCCATTGATTGTATTTTCTGTTCCATTATGTAGAAGTTTTCTCGCAGCAACCACAATTCTTTTTTTAAAAACATATCTTCACTGTTCCACTCATTGACTAAACATTAATTAAATCAAGTTTAATTTGATTAAAATACGATCAAAATGATTAGCCGAAGTTTTCATACATTTGTCTTTATCATAATATTGTTTAACCACCCTGTCGTATTTCGCGTGTTGATTTTGGACAGTTGCTGTGTTAACATTTGCGAAACAAAAAATATTTTATTATTTATTCACAATGACTTTAATTAATTTTAAACTGTGCAATTTTTAAATAGATTATTTTTTGTGCCTTTTATTCTCTGTTCCATTACACGATGCCTGTCCTTCATAATTTCCAATTCTTCGGCAATGATAAAATTGTACTTCTTCAAGCCGATTATATCTTAACATCAACGATAATTTACCGTTAATTATACACACACGACCAGATACGAGAATAAAATGATTTAGTCTACCATTTTCCGCCTTTTTTAAATCTAAGTTCTTCGTTTTTTCGATCTGGCATTGTGATGTCGTCAGCTAGGGTTTCTCCGCTATCGGTTTCTAAACGATCGAAAAATATTTCATATGGTATCATGCGATTTCACTGATTTTCAATGTTTTGCATTATTTTATAAAATATATACCAACCTGGGTTGATATTAATTCTCTCTTTGGCCGATTTTCGGTCCACCCGCATGCATACGTCTTGAGATAAAACTGTATTAGATTTCGACTCAACTACAAAATAATATATATATATATATATATAATTAAATTATATATTTTATAAACACGTTGTTACGTAAGAATTTTTAATTTATATTACTTGTAAATTTCCATTTTGGATCCAACCATGGATCATCGTTCATCGTCCACTGATCTTGGGCGTTAAGCTGTTTGAAATTGCCATTTATTTTTTCGTACTGCTCTCTCCAACTCTCTCGAAGAATCAGCATGATTTCTCCAACTAAAACCCAATTGATTCGATTTATATTAATTTTATCGAAGACAAAGTATTCGTAGCCGTCAGTAATTAAAATTATACAGCGCATAATTATTTATCGAATAAATTTGTAGGATTCGCGAAATTACCTGAATATATCGCGGTCGTTTCCGCGGTTCTGCTGTCCACAACAAGGTTTCTCGGGTATAACCGTTCATCCGTTTCTTTTTTATTTTCGTCACTAACCTACAATGATAGATTATAGTAAATGCATTGTGTACGATTTTTTTTTTATTATTAAAGTAGAACTCATTATTAAATCGCAGTGGTGGCTATTGGTAGTTTCATACAGCATTGTAACCATATTTCTATAACTAGGGGAACTTATGTCCCAATATAAACATATATTAGTTGCAACTCTTGCAAAAACTTTCTGGCATATTATAATATAATTAATTGAAAGTGCTAATATATAACATGTATCTCGCTCAGGTGATTAGGTCTTCATTCCCAGTGTATATGGTTACAAACATGTTATATATTAGCACTTTCAATTAATTCTAAGGTTTTTACCTCTTCCACCCTTTTATCACTTGTGGAAACGGTGTTTTCCGTGGATCCGATGTTGTTATCCTCTTGTGTTCCGGCCTCCTTGTTTCCATTCCATCTCACTATCCAATTGAACCAATGTTCGGTTCCTACAGAAGTCGTGGCAGCAAAATCTAGCAAGTTAACTTGTTTGTTTAAATTTGCCATTTTTTCTATAGCTTTTTTAAAATGTATTCAAAATCGTGTAAAAGTCTTAATTTTTTTTCCCTGTTACAATAATATACTTAATGAATATGCTGTTATATACGTAAAGAATTTTTGTTGAATAAACGTGTTATTCTAAAAGTTTATTTTTAATTTTTAGAATATTTAATGGTATTGTATTAACTGAAAATTCAGGTGTTTATCGAGTTTTAATTGAACCAGTTAATATAAATATATTAAACGCATTCGATTGTTTCAAAAATATGACAAACTACACTAAAACCAATGGCGTAGCCAAGGGGGGGGGGCTAAGGGGGCTATAGCCTCCCCCATAGACCGTGTTTATATGTATAATGTATCTTGACTATTTAATAAAATTAATGCTCGTTTTAATCAAAGGCTTATTGATGTTATGCCACTTGAAGGACTTATTCCGGCCAATTTAAATATGTATGACGATAAAAATATTATAAAAGCTGCTAAAATATATGTCCAAGATCTCCATGATGATACCTCATCTACAATCAGATCTGGCCTGTTCATATGGGGGCAATAATGGAGTCAAAATACTATTCCAAAACCGAATTCTGCTCTTGATTCACCCTCTCATCGCACCAATCTTCGACCTAAATACTTTTACAATTATTCGCCACGTTACCAGTTACCTCTTTCACTCCGGAAAGAACGTATCCAGCACTTAATCGCTTCAAATTTTTTTAAGAAGCACCATGTCGGAAAACAGACTAAATGGGTTAGCTATGGCCAATATAAATAAAAAAGAGCAATTCGATGAAAGTGAAATAATAACTGAATTTGCCAGAAATTCGCCTAAGAGAATGCAGCTGTCAGAGTGGAGCAAGTGACTGAACACTGAAACCAAAATTATTATTATTATAATTATAAATTATATATTAATAAATATTTTTAAAACTATACTAAAATGCTTGAATTACGTTTAGAAACTTAGTGGTAGATGGTGGGGGGTTAAGGGTGAATTCTCATATCCTCTCTTACCTTACTTATTCAAAAAAAAGTGGTTAGCCCCCCCCCCCCATTTAAAAATCCTGGCTACGCCACTGACTAAAACTGATTTGTAATAACGAGTACTTATAAAATACTGATTACCCGAAAATAATTGAATAATAAAATATAAGTAACTCGAACTTAAATAAGTAATACATTTTACTTGAGTATTATTTTTTTCTACTATTCTATTAATCTGATCTCACTCTTGAACTCATAAAATACAATAATAATTAATAATTTTTTACTTATACATCGTCTCGAATCATATTTATCAATAATTATTATATACTTGAAATATTTCTACATTATAAGACTTATTTTTGTTAATTAATTTGATGATCATTTCATATTTCTTAAAGCACGATTACTCGTTTGTAGTTACTTGTGGCTTGTACAAAATTCCACGCATAGTTAATATATGTGCACCTGTTATCGAATGCAGTTATTATTTCACAAAAATATTTTTCTGATCTTGAAAATCAAAACTAACGTAATTTGGATAAATGAAAAAATAATACGTTAATTTGAAGTTAATCTATAAGAAAATGAGTTAATTTAATAAGTTAATTTAATTTATTATGATAGTAATGAAATAAGTTAATTTAGTAAGTTAAATTAACTTAACTTTTAACTAATTAAATTGTTAAAATGCCAAGGTTTGATTTTATCTAAGTATATTATCAGGAGTGTATTGGTACGTATACGCGGGTATACGGCGTATTCAAATCAGCAGATTTTCGATTTTAGGCGTATTACCTAATATAAAATATTATTTTACGGGTATGCGCTTCTAAAATAACTCGAAAACAAAAAAATTAATAATAATTTAATAGTTCATTGGAAAAAATTGTTATGAACCATGAAATTAATTGAAATATTTAGCTGTTGAAGATTATAGTGTACACTGTGTTTAATGTATTTTGAATAACATTGAATAAAATAGTATAAAGTGTGAACATTCAGCCTATGGTTCTTAATTTAAAACGCGATGCAAATGTATCTTGTGGTATTATATTTTAGTGTTAATAGAAGTTATAAACATGTAACCCCAAGACTACTTGGAGAACTTAGCTTTCGTATTCCTAGTAACACTAGGCTTCAGTGTAATTTTTATATACCCACCAATAAATCGAACTTCTCCAGGAATGCCCCACTTATAAGGATGATGCATAATGCAAATAATCATATAGACTACTAAGCCACATGAAGTACGAAGGCTCACATTTTTTATTTTTATTTTTTCATTTTCACATAACTTACACCATGTTGTTTTTTTTTTTTTTTGGTTTTACTTACTTACTAATTCTTTTTCTTCTCTCTAATATAAATTAGTATAAGTTACGCGTCTTATATATATTGTATATGTTTTTTTTTTACTGTTATCTATGTACTTCTTGTCTGTAATTTTGTAAAAGCCGTCCGGCGTTGATTATAATATAATAATATAATAATATAATAATAGTGTAGTTACAAAGGATAAATTAATTTTTTTCGAACTTATCGAAAGAAAAAAATTGTTGAGCGAAGCAAGAAAATTTATTTTAGGATTAATATCCATATATATTTTAGTGCGTATAACCACAAATATATTTACCAATACACCGCTGTATATTATATACATAAAAATGATTCCCTATTTCCCTTGGTCGCGTCATTACGTGTTTGTAGAATGGCTGGACCAATTTCGCTAATTATTTTTTTGTTGTGTTTGTTATTGTCAGGAAATTAAATAAAAAGGTTTTTATGAAAGAAAAAATTAAAAATTGCACGGAAAATTAGAAAATTTAAGAATACTTAACCACCATATAAAATTATTTCTAATCTAATACAAGCGCTTTGGACAATATAAACTTTATTAATGTAACATTTTGACGTTTAACATAGAATTGACACAATGTGTGCTGCAAATATCGTCAAAGAATTATTACATTATTAATTTCGTCAAAATATCGTATTCGGCAAGACGCACATGATACATTGGATGTATTCAGTCGAGTGTCAAAAACTCGAATTACCACATGCACACATTCTCATTTGGTAGGTAGAGAGGATAAGACTGAATGAAATCGACGATGTGATATCTACGGAAATTCCCGATAATGATGAAGATCCATTTTTACATAAAATTATTATAAAATATATGATTCATAATCCCTGTGGAATAATTTTTCGTGTATGGTTGATGCAAAATATTCAAAACGCTATTCAAAACAATTAGTAGTAGAAACTATTAGTGTAATTGATGGTTATCCACAATATCGCCGGCGATCCACTGATGACAACGGAAGGTAAACATTAGTAAAGTGAATCAGCTAGAAATTGAAGTTGATAAACGTTGGGTTTTTCTGTTTTCTCCGTTACTCTCGAAAACATTTAAAGTACATATAAATGTTGAATATTACCATTCCATAAAATCGATAAGATATATCTTTAATTACGTGAACAAAGGTAGTTAGACAAGGCTGTGTTTGGAATTGATGCTGATAATTCAAACGATGAGATTACTCATTTTCAAATGGGACGATATGTTAGTAGTAACGAGGCGATGAAGTGTTTTTTTTCGTTTCCAATACATGAAAGATACCCCACTGTAGTTCGCTTGACCGTACATCTGAAAAATGGTCAAAGGGTGTACTTTACAGCGGAAAAGGTATTACAACGAGTTGAGAGGCCACCATTCACGACATTGGGCAGCTTCTTTGAAATATGCCAGAATTATTACTTTGCTAGAACACTTCTTTATTCCAAAATGCCATGATATTATACCTGAAATCAATCGTTAAAGAAATTTTAACGACGGAAATAACGACAGCCTGTTCCAAGTAACCCTCAAGTATTTTCCATCAATACACTAGGACGACTTTACAGTCAATCTCAGCCAAGATGAGTGTTTTTATTTGCGTTTATTGTTAGTCAATATTTGTGGCCTAATATCATTCCAATATCTGCGAACTGTTGATGGTGTATTGTACGGCACATACAGAGAATCATGTCAACTTTTGAAATTGCTAAAGAATGACACTCATTGGAACCACACACTCGAGGATGTTGTGATTCCGACAAATGCTAAGCAAATACGAACATTGTTTTCCATAATTTTGTATACATGCTTTCCTTCAACACCGATTGATTTATGGACTAAATATAAAGATCACGTGGCCGAAGATATATTACATCAGAAGCGTCTTAGAACATCAAATGCAAATTTGCAAATTAACGAAGAAATGTACAATGAAGCATTAATTTTAATTGAAGACATGTTTGATGTTCACCAACAAAGAATTAATACAATTAGGAATGACAACGCCCAGTCGTCCAACGCACAGCGCATTTAATCAAGAGTTGGGACGCGAAACCATATATGATTCCAAGGCATTAAAAGAAACAGTTCTAAGAAACGTTAGTCTTTTAAATGACCAACAAAAATATGCCTACGATACGCTAATGAAAGTAGTGAAAGATGTACCTGGCAGATTTTTTTTACTTATATGCTTCAGGTAGGACTGGGACTTTTTAATATCATTGATTTTGATTCGATCACAAAATTGTATCGCACTTGCACTTGCTTCGTCAGGTATTGCAGCTACGTTGTTGGAAGGCGGTCGAACAGCTCATTCTGCACTCAAGTTAAAGTTGCCATTGAACATGCAAATAAATGAAACACCAACTTGCAACCTTTCGAGAAATTCTGCGATGGCCAATGTTGCAGCAGAGCAAATTAATAGTTTAGGATGAGTGCACAATGGCACACAAGATATCTTTGGAAGCATTAGACCGCACTTTGTAAGATTTACGAAAGTACAAAAACCGGTTTGATGTTGCAATGATTTTAATGGCAGATGATTTTTGCAAAATACTACCAGTAATATCACGATCTACGCCAGTCGACGAACTTAACGCATGTTTAAAGTCATCAATTTTATGGAAACACGTTGAAATGCTCAAATTAAATATCAACTTGCGAGTTGAATTGCAAAATGACCAAACAGGAAAAGTTTTTTCCAAACAATTTCTCGACATTGGTAATGGCAAAATACCTGTTGACTCATTGTCTGAATACTGGATATTGCCTACTAAGTTTTTCATGTCTTTGAAATGGCACCCGACTTTTGGTGAAGAAATTAATGAACAACGTTATCGAAGCCACAATTTTAAAAGGGAAGTACAAAAACAAAGACGTTTTGATTCCACGGATTTCTTTGATTTCGAACGACATGCCATTCGACTTTATACGATTGCAATTTCTAGTAAGGCTAGCATTTGAAATGTCGATAAATAAATCTCAAGGGCAGTCGCTAAGTGTTTGTGATATCAATCTTGAAAATCCATGTTTTTCACATGGCCAGTTATATGTCGCCTGTTTCCGTGTCGGACTTATGCTTGACCAATAATTTTATTTAAATCAAGTCCAAATCTGAGGAGAGTAAAAATAATTGTTTCCGAAATAGATTGTGAATTTAATTATTTTAGTGTTAACAAATGGCCTCGTAATCTTGGTTTCCAATTGTTTAAGGATTCGCATGTCCCAGAGAACAGATAGATCAATCAACCGACGTGCAATGTCTTGACGCCTAGTGTTAAGTAACTCTCGATGTTACTGATTCAATAATAAGACGGAAATCAAGGCGTCGAACTCGTCTGTCCTCCGGTGCAATTATTAGACTCAACAAAAATTATTGAAGTGAGAGTGGTGAGGGTTAATAGTAGTATAATAATAGTGAGGGTGACGATTACCACTTCGCCCTGCCAATCGAGTCGGCCACCGATCGCGTTTATCATTGCAGTAAGTCGGAAGTTAACGAATTAACGAATCGTTAATTGGTTTAAAAATAATAATTATTAAAATAACAGTAGTGCAATAAATATTATTATAATTAAACCGTGGCCAATTGTTCGATATTGTCAGTCGTAGAATCGTACCGTTCTCAGCAGCGTCTATCGAGTGTACTAATCTGTTCGGCGTTGCTTGATAAGCAAGCGTGATAACGAGTAACCACATGTCAGATGTGAGGTCGTACCAGTTTGTGACGTGGTGAACGAGGAACATACGGAGCGTCGCGGCGGAACAAACCAGGTTGGCAAATTGTAACACGGCCAGGGGGGAGTGGTGGGTGGAATAAAAGAACTGCACGGGTGCTGAAATAATAATAATAATAATAATAATAATAATTTTAATAATTATAACGAGATACGACATAAGAGCGCGCACGTGCGTAACAAAACATAAAAAACGGGTGAACGGACAATTATGGCGTGCACGGATAACGTGAATATACAACGTCCGTGGCGGTGGTAATGGTTGGGCTTACCGCCGCGGTAACAGCAGCGACAACGCGACGTAATCATGGCCGCAGCGACCTAGCCCGTCTCCGTTCCCACTCCGACGGGTCCGAAAGACCATTATTATTATTGACTTTTTCGCACCACGTCGCGTATGCATACCGGCCGCCCAACCGACCGTTTCCATGCGTCCGCTGCGGCTCAACCATCGCGAGTGACAGTTTTCGGTAACGGCGACATCAGCAACCGTCACGACAACGACGCCGTAGCGTTCCGTTCGTTTCTCGACGGCGTACGTGGTCCGAGGAAAAAACGAAAAACGCACCGTGTCTCCCACAGCCGATAACCGTTATCATACGATCGTGCCGTGTATCATCATAAATATACAATATAATAATATTGTTACGCTTAGTAATAATAATAATAATAATAGTAATAATAATTTATTATCTCGTCATTGTCCGTTATTCGTTACACTTGCACTTCGCGCCCGTCGTGCAGTCCCTTCGGCTTAATCGGACCGTCGCCTGAACGCGTACGCGTCCTCCGAAACTCGAGTGTGTTTTGTACGTATCGACGTCAGCACCGTGCGAGACGTGTTCTACGATATTCGTATGTGTTACTGTGTCCACGGAGTCGGACTGCCAAGCCATGTACAATACGAATCGCATTTCATTATGATCCTCGAGAGAAATGGTAAAGATGATTTTTGCACACCCAGTTACATTATGATTCATTACTGTTACGTTGATCTACATTTATCATTGTTCTCACCTCGTCTATTGCAATGGTTATGCGTTTTAACAGCTCCCGCCACAGTAGTCATGATATTCGTTAGTCGTATTATGTACTTAATACGTAAGTTCACTATTTATTGTCCGATTCCATTTAATAACATGATATCAGATATTTGTTGCAATGTCGATCGTTAAAGCTATTCTTTTTTATGTTTCTCTCAACTTTTTGTTCTTTAGATTTTAATAATCAAATCGAACGTAAGTACTTAGTGGGAACTTGATCTGTTGCATGCATTTCGATTTGCAAACTTGATATATTCTTATTACCGTAGAATTGTTTTTAAATAGAACTTGATACTGATATTACTAATCTATAATGTGATTTAATATATTAACAAAACCTTGTACATGTTTAGCATTTCTTTCTGATAATTTGTTGACTTCATTGATTTTTTTTTTATTACATTTTTATTTAACGTTTCTTTTCAATATTCAAGTCCCGATTAGTTGTAGTTTCATTATTTCGAATTATTTTAATTTTATTTTAAGAATTGTTAATTTTATATTTAATAAATAAAGGAGAAGTTTATTCACTGAATAATTGGTTTAATTTATTTAATAACACTATATCTAATGTATATTGATTGCACAACGTAAACTGATATTTTAGTATATATTTTTAAACTAATTCGAACTTTAAATATAATTTTGAAAAAAATCTTAATAAAATAGTACCAATCTATTATTTTTTGTTTCGAAATATTTTAAATTTACTTAAATTTTATATTAAATTTAAATGATTAACTATAATTGTCTTTGAATAAAAATATATAAAGTATAAATAAATAATTCTGTTTATATATTAAATATATTTATGATATGTTTAAACAATTGAATTTCTACATCTTTGCTAAGTTGATTTTTATTTTGTTTAGGTATTATTCATATAATAAGCTATTAAATAGTTATAATGCTGGGATTTATATATAATAAAAAAATAAAAATATGTACACACTTATGTATTTAAAATTAGTAAATAGTAGACAATAAAAAACAAAATATGGAATAAAAGAATTTAAAAATATGTAATTGTGTTAAATTAAAATACAATTCTATATAATTTTTGATCAATTTAAATGAAAACTATGACAAACCTTATATTCTCTTAAATTTTCAAAATTAAAATTATGATGATTTGGTCTTAACAATGATTTATATCTACTAAAAGAGCGTTCCACTTCAAAAAATGTTATTGGTACATACTTCATTGCTCTTTTTTCATTAGACAAAATATTGAGTTCCATCATGTCTTCATTTATAATACCACAAAACATTACAAATTAATTTTGGAACCAATAGAGGTACTTATTTTAAAATATAACTTCTTCTGTATGAATTAAAATAATATTGGCTCATTTGTTTTTTTTTTTAATTCATTATTACAGATATTGTATTTTAGTATGTATATATGCTTTATAATATGTTATATTTGTTGTATGTACAAGATATATGAATATCAAAATATATTCAACAAGTTATTATTGTTAATATCATTTATATTTTATATTAACAATTATATGAACTTAATAACGTTAAATAAAAAAAATTCAAAAAGTATACAATAAAATTCATAACTTTATTTTTTTTTTCAGTGCATGAGGTCTCATACAGAAGATAAGCCATATTCATGTCAACTCTGTCTTGAACCCTTCTTTACCAATGAAAATTTGAAAGTGACCATGGGGTCTCACACGGGAGAGAAGCCATTTTCTTGTGAGGTCTGTCTTAAATCGTTCACTCTTAACCAACAATTAATTACTCACTTAAGGTCTCACACTGGAGAGAAGCCATTTTCCTGTGAGGTTTGTGTAAAATCCTTTTCCACCAATGGAAATTTGAAAGTGCACATGAGGTCTCATACTGGAGAGAAGCCCTTTTCATGTGAGGTCTGTTTAAAATCGTTTACTCTAAACCAACAACTTATCACCCATATGAGGTCTCACACTGGAGAAAAACCATTTTCATGTGAAGTCTGTCTAAAATCATTCTCCACCAATGGCAATCTAAAAGTGCACATGAGATCTCATACTGGTGAGAAACCATTCTCATGTGAGGTTTGTTTAAAGGCATTTACTTTAAACCAGCAGCTTATAACTCACATGAGATCATCTCATGCAAGAGAAAAGTTGTTTTCATGTGAGGTTTGTCTAAAGTCATTTCCTGTAAATGGTTCATTAACAAAGCACATGCGAATTCATGCAAACAAGAAACCTCCATATTCATGTGATCCATCGGCATGTAAAAAATGCTTTACTCAAAGCGGTCATTTACTTACTCCTCATACTACAACAATTCATGGTGGAGAAGATAATTATAATTGTACGATGCCGACTTATAAAAAGTAATTTTATTTAAACAGTAATTTTAATTAAATTAACTGTTCTACATAATTGTTTATATAACGTATAATAAAAATATCATTTTTGATGCTTCAGTATATGTTTATTTATTTTAAATAAAGTGCTTACCCATTTTGACCTCTTGGTGTTTAACCTATTACAAGATAAATTATGGATATGCACTTTTTAAGGATTGTAATTATTTTTTCATTAATATATATTTTTATCTGCATTGGATGTGTAATATATAGGTAATTAGGAATGTGGCTCTTAGTGGCAATTTTTTTAAAGCAATTAATCCTAATTTTGTTAATTATTCAAAACAAATAACTATCATGAGATAATGTTCATATAATATTTAACTTGAGTAACATTTAATAAATTTTAATCAAACTTAAAAATTAATAATAGACCATCTAAAAAATTTCTAAAATTTCTAAAATAATTATTTTGAAATTATTTATTATTTCTGCATATATGACATTATATTCTCACTAATACATATGCCAATAAGGATTAAATACATAAGTTAATTAAATACATACATAAATTGGCAGTATTATTATTATTAGTAAATTGAAAATTTCCTGTGTAAAAATAATATTAATTATTTAATAAATTGCCGCATAGAGCTCTCTTAACTATTCATTTTTGTATAGGTGCCTACTTATTATTTTGGTTAGAATAATGATAGAAAATAATTTAAAAGTGTGGTACATTAATGAATTTGTGATCATTTTATAAGTTAGTTATTTTATTTTTTATTAAAATACAAAATTATATTAATTCATTTTTAATTTAATATGTTACAGAAAATATTGGTGTACTATTTAAAAGTATAAACCTTGTTATTTTGTTCATATTACTTTAAAATTAAACAACATTTACTGAAAATATGGTTTTTTTTTAATTTTTTTTTTTTTTGTAACACATGGAAGATTATTTTCCCATTTTCAATTATTCATTTATGTTTGATTTTTAATCTTATTTGATTGAGATAAGCCATGGCATTTTATCTAAAATATATTTAAATATTATTTAAGTTTTTCAATTCAATATACACAGTACATTTTAATTAATCGATTATTCTCACCCCCAAAAGTGATAATGTAGATAATAGATGTTCTACAGAACAGTATGAAAATAATTAATTTTATATCTATTGTTTATTGATCTCTAATGAATTATATAAGATATTACTATTCACTATTTTACTTGTTTTTCGGTTTATTGTAAAATAAAAAAAAGTTAATTTTTTAAATATATCATTGAATAAAAGGGGTGTAAATTGAGTTTTATTTTCATTGAAAGAGGTAAGTTGGATGATAAGTACAGGGCGATATTAAATTACAGTTAAAAATTATAATTGAGTAAACCATAAGTTATTTTCAAATAAGTGAATATTATGAATTAATTATTATTTGTTATGAACGATTAACTTTAAATATTTATTTTTTATGTACTTCTAATGATTAAATCCAGTGCATTTTATAATTTATTATTTATAAATATTTATAGAAAAATATATAAATTTAATTTTGACTAAAAAATTATATTTTTATATTTGTTTTAATTTAAGAAATAAGTTAATATTGTTCATAACATCGAAATTGTCTTGGAAAAGTAATTAATAGAAATAAATAATTATAAAATCAAAATATGTACTAGAATGAAACCTTTCTATAGCGGACACCTTAAGCAAAAGTTGTCTATGTTAAAGAGTGCTGGCTATTTGAAGGGTTGCAATATTTTTGTATACTTTTATATTTTTTATTATATATATATATAAAAATAATACATACATATATATATATATATATGTATTATTTTTCATCATTCCTATTATTATAATTAAAAAAAGTATATATAATTTATTATTCTTATGAAATTTATAAAACAAAATGTGAATTTTATTGCTAATTTTTATAGTATGTTTATTGTTATTAAAAATGCATTTAAATATCATAGGTCATTGCTATTACTCTACAAATTCCTTTTTTCTAAAACTATGTAAATAAATAAATATTAACCTGTGATCATTGTTAGATTAAACTTTATTTAGATATATATTTTTATACAAAAATTACAAGATAATTTTTTATTTTGATATTTTTGTATTACTAGGAAATTTTTTATCTCAAAGTTAAAATATGACTGATAGAGTGTACATTTTCTACCAGAAAAAAAAATTTGTTGGAATTTTTTCAGTTGTAGGGAAAAAAAATGTCCTGTGTCCTGTATTTTTTACGTCTAGTAGTTTGTAAAATATTTACATAAAAAATATTGATCGAAATGGTAAACTATTTACATGAAAGATTGCTGTTTGAGAGTTTTTAGAAAAAAGTTCACACCAGAACAAATATTCGTTTATACCTAGGCAATTTTAAACTTTTTCTCGTACAAGTTACAGGAACATAAAATATAGTTAACCTTAGCTACCTGCCTATAATAAAACATGAATATTGGGTAATACATTTTATTCAATATTAAATTTAAATTAAACGAAGTGTAAATTATTTGTATTTTAGTATTAGTTTTTTGACATTTGTACTTCTTTTGTACAATCTTAAAATTGTCGATAGTATGTATGAGAATGAAAATCCTAGTTCGAATTATTGTACAATACCAATACAAATATTTTAATTAAGGTTAGTATACAATTTGTAAGTATTATATTGTATACATACAAATTTGTCATGTAATTTTATTATTCCATTGAAAGTAGTACCATTGATTATAAATAGTATTTATAATCAATGGTAGTACGTTCAAGTTGCATGCAATTTTGGATAGATAGCGTTGTTTGATAATTATGTGTGTTCTTCGGTATTTTATGATTTTACCGTATTTAAGGAACATGAAACCAAAAATTATATACTTATAATAAATATTAAATCGTTACAGGTCAAGAAGCTAATAAAAATTTTTCAAGTCTTAAGACTAAATAACACCTTTATTATATTTATGTTTATTATGTGATTGTTTTCAGTGGCTTATTTTTTTAATGTATCGAAATTATGTGCAGTGAAACCTCGGTTTCTAGAAGTCGCAAGAGACCAAAAAAAATTTAACATATCAAAACTTTGAGTTACCGAGGGAATTTAAAACAAATTAAATTTGAAAAAAAATATTTAACTATTGGGAAAATTTTGTATTTATAATCTAGAATTTATTTATATATTGTATACTATTAGTATTCGTCACTTGCTGTGGTGTAAATTGGGCCCAATTTCTGATGGTGCAGAGGCATATTTTCAACTTATAATTTCCAACATCCTAAGTAAAATCTTTCCCAATAAATTACATATTTTCCCATATATTTCTTTAAATAATAAAAACGTAGATAATCTATTTAAGAACAATCAACTTCAGCGATATTTCTATTCTTTATATAGAAAAATATATATTCGTTAATATTTAATAGTAGTGATGTTTTAAATATATTTTCTGATAAAAATAGATATTTGTTAATAAAATGTAATATTAATTACTTTAAAATATACATTATTTAGTGTTTTTTTAGTATAACTTAAACATATTTATATTTTTATTAGTAGTAGGTTATACTTGTGAATAGGATTGAGGTGCGAGGGCAAAGGATTTGTATTCGTACGGTTATAAAATAATAATGTAAATTAATGTAATTAATTAAATTTATGAACTATAAAAGAAACTTGAGATGGAGGGGTTGAACCCCCAACCTCCCCATATACGGTCTTGACCATAATATACAATAATTTTTATATATTATAAAATTTTCTATATTTTTAATTTTTTTTTTTCACTTTTATATTAGTATAAAACAATTCATAGTATTTTGAAGACTTTTATTTTAGAGATTCAACAGATAATTTTAAATGTTTTTTAAAAATATTTGGTGATACATACAGATTTATAGTTCTATAATATGGTAATTAGGTGAATTATAAATTTATATTTAACTTACCCTATACATTCACAAAGTAATACGCGTTTTTTTTTTTTAATAAAACTAGTTTAAAATTGTGTAAAATTCTATATTGGATCACGTATTTTATAATACTATAAAATGGTACCAAACGACCATTTCGTGGTCAACACACCCATGAGAAATAACGCCAAAAGTGAATCAAGTTAAAAATAAACAAACATTTGTCAAGATTCATAACCATAATTTGTATGGTTTAAAAAAAAAAATGTCTCATGAAAAGTAATTTAATGATTTATTAGAACACAAAATATTGCAACATTTTTTATTATTTTGATTGTTATCTATACACATTTCACATTGAGTTGGTTTTTAAAAAAAAATTATGATTATCATTCGGACCGAGGACTATGCGTTTTAATTGTATGTGTAACGTTTTAAATGTAGGTATATATTTTGTTATAATTTTATGAGATGCTGAAGTTGTGGAGATCAATGGAATATTTAAATTTTTCGGATGTATTTGACTGCATAGATTGTCCACTTCTTCCACAAGTATTACTTACTTATAATAAAAGAGAAGTATTTTTTATTTTTAGATATCTGTGGGTAAATTGTATATGTTCTATAATATTATTGTCTGGTTTTCAATCTTTCTTTTGAAGATTTCATGTTAATATTTACCCTTACCTTACTAACAGTCTTTATCTGAATTCGATGATATAGTAACACCTGTCTATTAAACAATATTAATTGTGTTCCAATTATTCTAATTCCTATATGGCTATAAGTACAGTAATGATGACATGGCGCTTAAGGCCATTTAACAACGCCTTATTGTTGACCAAACAACATTGCAAGTATAATCCTTCACGCTTACTAAGTCCTTAATCCAACACATAAATGATGTATGAATAATAATGGTAATAATAATAATCTTATAAACATAATATGAATGTGTGTGGATCGGCACGCGTCGTGACCAGTCGTGTTTTCGTGCACGTGGCTTTTCAGTACCGTATACATACGCGTGCGATCTCGTTGTCTAAGTTGAGATCTTTTTGCCATGTGCACTCAACCTCCGTTATTGTGACTATTAATTTTTTTCTCAGCTTTCCCCTTTATGTCTAACTCAACTCTGTATCCGCTTGATTTATCGTTTTCAGTTATATGTACAAGTATTTTAAATTTAAGTACCTGTACATTTACAGGTTATTGATACATGTGACTCTTAGTGTGTCGTGTACGTGTAATTTTGCTCTTGTTTTTTTTTTTTTGACGTGGGCAACACGCCGATGCCTGTAATGAAGTCGTTTGATACACTGGTAGCCAATTAACGCGGACAATTCCGACTAATCTGACACATCTGGCTTTCTGGCGACGCGAGACTCGTGGGATATCCGTCACGAATATCAATAATAATGTATAATATATACGGTATTCACAGGTGTGCGCATCAGACATCGATTCCATAGTATGCCTACACTTGCTACAATGTCTCGGTGTATGCGTATAATGCATGTAGCAGTAGTTGTACGTGTTAACCGTTTTGCAGTTGATCGCAGTTGACGTTACTCATATAGGATCGTGACCGGTAATCTGTATAAAGATTTACCGGTCTGGTTGTATTATTTTATCGTGTGTCAAAAGTAGAAAGAAAAAATTAAAAAACCTTGACGTAAATCAGAGTTCATTCTTCGTCGTGTTTTCTATTCGCATAGCCTACATACATTTTAAAACATTAATAAATCGTGGCAAATCGAAAAACGGTTTTAAGCGAATTAAAATTTTATTTAATTAATATGCCTTATGGCCAGTTGTAACAAATATTATATATGTAGTATATTTTTCCATAAATTTAGGTAAGTACCTAATTGAAATATAAGTGTATCTTACTTGAAGAAAAAATTTAATATACTTGTATGTATTACAACTAACAAGTAAAGCATAAAATATACCTATCACTGGAGGTGAGGTACTTACCTTTAAACATACAAGATTGAAAATAAAACTGTTACATTCCATGAAAGTAGTCAGTATTATTTCATTAATAATTATTTATAATTTAATTATGAATACTAAATTTTCGAATATTTTTAAAAATCACTATGCATTATTTGATCTTATTATTACAGCTCCGGATCTCAAGAACTAATTTATTTCTAAAATGTTAAATTTATGTTGTCTACGAAAACTAAAAATAATAAAACAATAAAAACTGTTGAATATTTCCAGAAATTAAAATTTCGTGTACGCATTGAGTCTTTTAAGTGGTAGCACTTTTATATTTAAGTAAGTATAAGATTTTAGAAAAAAAAACCAATTAAAGTAAATAAAATAGCAAATAGGTAATTTATTTCCATAAATTTCGAAAAAATAAATAGTGTAATAGATAATTTTAAAATTCTTTATTAAGATTTTATTGAATTTTAAATTAAAATTGAAATAATTAAATATGCATAATATGCTTATGAAAATTAATAAAATATGAATTTTTTTCAAAATTTGATCAAATATGCAAAATAAGTATTTTTGATTTTCAATTTTTATATTCACCCTTGTATAGCTTGAGTTTCTAGCTTGGTTTTATATAAATTGAGAGCATATAAAACAATATGTAACTCCTACAAATTCCGAGCTATTTGAGTACTTATATACATGAATATATATATATGAAAACATTTTTAGCCTTTTTTTTTACTTCCTTTTCGTGACTTTGTTAATCGAAATTGTAAACTGAATGTTCTTTTGATATCCAAAAACACCACATATTTACTTTAGATTAAATGATACTAACATATAATGCAAGTACGGTCAATAATATATAGAATCGGACAGAACGACCTAGTCAGAAAATTATTATATACCTACTATAGACATCCAAATATCCGTGTCAACTAAACATAATTATTATGTGTTTAGTATGATGATTGCCCATCATAAAATAATTACTGGCTTAGTCTTTTTGCTCTATATTACAGAGCATATAGTCTATATCAGAGGTATTTAAACTTTTTCATCCCAAGGTTCCTTTGAGTCTTCACAAAATGTTGACGGCTCCCAAATTATAAATAACAAAAAAATCAATGTTTATATGAATGTAATTTTATATTTTATAATTTAATATTTATTAATATTTATTTATCGTATTAAATTTATAAAAAAATTATAAATAAGTAGTAGGTATTATAGAAAAAATTGGAATACAATATTTTATGTTGAGTCTTAGTAAATATAAATCAATAAAATAACTAATCAATATTACTTAATACTAAATTTTTAGTGAGATGGATGCGCCTGTTTATGCTTCATAATATATTCAAATCGTAACTATTGTTTGGAAATAGCTATTCTCATCTCCTTCTCAACGTTCACTTTTGACCGATATTTTGTTTTAATTACAGCTAACGCAGAAAACCTGGTCTCACAGAGGTACGAAGTTGCAAAAGGTGTTAAATTTTTCAAAGCTTTGGTGGCCAATTCGGTGTATTGTAGTTTCACATGCGTCCAAAATTGTGTTAACGACGATGATCCGAACATGGTCTTCATTGTGAAATCTGATGTTACATCGATCCACTGTTCTTGTTCAATAGATGACAAATTTATTGGAAGATTAGCACTGAAAGGATCTTTGATCCAATTTTGTTGTTGAGTGTTTTGTGGAAAATAATATTCGAAATTAATTTTGAGGTTTGATAAGTGGTCAATGAACTCGTTTTTGACGATCTCATTCAAGTTCATATCATTTTCTTTTAGAAATGTATAGAGCATAGGAAAGTAGTTATTAATAGTGTCCTCTTCTATTTTAGTCTTCCATAAAACTAATTTTCTTTGGAAAGCCGTAATTTTATTAAGAAGCTCAAAAATGTGAATTTCATTTCCTTGCAATGATTTATTTAATATATTTAGCTTTGAAAAAATATCGGAAAGATATGACAGTTTTGTAAGAAAATCAATGTCTTTAAATTTTTTGTGGTATTCATGGTGGTCTAAAAGAAAAAGATAAAGTTCATTTATAAGCTCGAATACTCTTGCCACTACATTTCCACGTGAAAGCCAGAGAATTACTATTGTAAAGTAAGGAAGTGTGCTCAGCTCCCGGATCAACACACATTTGTTCGAAACATCGGGATTTCAACGGATGAGTTTTGATGAAGTTAACGATTTTAATAGTTGATTGCAATACCTCATCAAGGGATGGACTGATAGATTTTGAAGCAAGAGCTTCTCTGTGAATTATGCAACGAGTCCATACATGGGGCTTTTTTTTTTTTAATAAGGGCTTGAAGTCCATTGTAACATCCTGACATAGAATGAGCTCCATCAGTACAAATACCACAGCACATTTCCCACATTAAATTATTTTCCGTAATGAAAGAATCGAGCATTTGGAACAAGTCTACTGCTTTAGCTTGACTTTTAATAGTTCGACAAAAAAGAAGATCTTCGTGAAAAACACCACCATCTATAAACCTCACGTAACAGATTAGGTGGCCATCATTATTATTATCAGTGGCTTCGTCCAGTTATAGAGAAAAATCCTTGCCTTTTAATTTATCTATCAACTGATCATTAATATCTTCAGCTAAATCAAGTATTCTGCGACTAATGATAGTATCTGATAATGGTATGTTCATTAATTTCTTGGCAGCAGCCTCCCCAAGCATAATTGACACCATATCCATTGTTGCTGGTAAAATGAGCTGTTCTGCGATAGTATGTGGTTTTTTACATTTAGCGATTTGATAAGCAACTTTGTAAGATGCAAGTAGAGCCTTAGAAGGGATCTTAGCATGCTTGGCAAAGGTTGTCTTTTGTTCACGCATTGCTTTTAATTATGACTCAAAATATGTACGTGGTTTGTATTTCATAGTTTCATGTACCGTTTCCAAATGACGTTTCATTTTATTAGGCAGCATTCTTTCAACAGCCATTACTTTGAAACAAATAACACATTGTGGACGTTCTTCAATCTCCAATACCGTATACGTAAAACTATAATCCATGTAACTCTCATCATATTTACGGTGTTTTGATTTTCTTACAGTATTAGAATAATCAAATTCTGGATTATTACGTTTAGGTCTGTTCAAAAATGTATCCATCCTGATCAAACTCTAAAACTTAACTAACACGAGAAAACTATCACTTTTGTACACGTTAATGACGAACACAACTCGCGACTAGTACTGCCAAACTCGATATACGCACTGATAATTTAACGATGACAGTCGTTGGATACAACATGGGCTAATATTATTACAACAATATAGCCGCTATATTGCTATAATAATAATAACTGGTTGTAATAATAAAGATAAACTTCAATTTATCGCTATAACATTATGGAAACAATGACACTTACACGACAAATTAAAACTATATTTAGCTACAATTCAACGTTTCCCAATCGATGTTCCTAAATGATAATAATAAACGTTTTTCGTAAAAATATTTATTGGTTTTCAATTATATGACGTGGCTCCGTTCGATGACTCCCACGACGTCCCTGGGAGCCACGACGCACAGTTTGAATACCTCTGGTCTATATTATACGTAAGAAATTTCGGAGAGACTTGAATGGTGGTCGAGTGGTTCAGTGTGGTAGTATAAGGATCTTGAGAAAACGAAATCTAAAACTAAAATTACCAGAAAACCCAGAACTCGTAAATTGTATAAAAGATTATGGACAACTCGATGAAACAAAAATCAGATTCAGTGATGATTAAAGTAAAAGAAGACTAAGAAATGGCGTGAAAATGTAATACTTGCATATGTTAGTGGTTGATGGAATACAAGACTTCAATAATGTGACAGCGTTAGTCCCGGATAAATCGTAAGTTAAATAAGAATGATGATACTTATTTCTATCAACAATGTTTTATTACTTTCTCAAACTGAATTGTTAGAATAGTTCCTTATTGTCATTTAAAATTTCCACGTATTCGTTAAGTACTTATTTTATCATATAATGTTTTGAAAAATAAAAAGCCTTGTGCAATATTTTAAATATTATTGATAGTTAGCTAATTCAGATGTATTACCCCGATTTTTAAATTTTCATAGTTTGTCGATGAAATGTAAAAAAATTATGTATTACATTTCTACATTCGAGTACTTTCATTTGTATTTATATAAATTACTAAGAAAAAAAAAATCTTTTTCGAATGATACCACTCATTTAACATTTGTGCATACAATTTATAGTAATTTTACGCCTGTTCTGTTAGGCCGTATTCATAATAAATGTTACTCATCAAAAATAAAAAAATAAAAACATTTTCAATTATAATATTTAATTTAATCAGATTCAATTTTTTCATAATACTAATTATTAAATTATGATTATGGTTTTTTTTCCTATATAAACAATATTGTTTTTATCAATGAATATTTTAAACAATATGTATATTGTTGAGTAAATTAAATTATAATACCTTGAAATCAGTATGGTATCAAAACGGTCCAAAAAATAAAATAAAACGTATAGATCAATGCTTTTCTAATTATATGATATATAATATGAACTAAAATTTATGTTAAAATATCACTTGACGTTGTACTTTTTTTTGACGCAGAAATCGTGGAACCCTAAATTTTCCAAGACTATTCGAATCAACTGTTTTTTTTTCTATTAGACGAAACAAGCTAACCGAACCTCAAATAGATGTTTTATCGTTCAATAATGGTTACTGTGTACTGGACTTGCCTCATGAATCCGTGACATTGATTATGTGTTAGAGAAGGGGGGTTAGGGAGAGAATGACTCGACGTCCGCAGACACAAGAAAATATTATAACTCGGATAAAGTTTTCGACCTCGTGAACATTTTAGTAACACACGGACATACGGTCACGGGATGTGTCCGTTCCGGATCTGCCCGAGGCTCGTTTACGCCGAAAGATTTATGCGTTCGTGTTGTACACCACTAATAGCTGTTACACCTGACGTGCAGACGTGCCCCCTAGTCCGATATTGCGTACTACTTGTTCGACGACAATGAGCGTCGTGCTTGCTCAAGGCCTCCAAGGTCGGTGTGTTGACGACGCCACCAGTGTACATTATAATATTCTTTCGATACGAGAAAATCGCAGAAAAACAAGCGATTTAGTTCCGCTCAAACGTAGAAAATTATTTCAAAAACTGCAACGATCGCATCGTAAGAGTATAATAATACGTAAAGAATACGAAATCGATCACTTTCACCGTAGGTATTACTGTATTATATATGTCGAACGTCGCATCAGACGAGATAGTTGCAGAAAAGATAACCGAAGACCGCTAGCTGAAAACCTTAACACCCGGAGTATTGTCGTATTCACAGGGCTGTGTTTAGTATGTTATGACTCCCTTGACAACATAATTTTGCCGCTCTTACCCTCACCAAAAATAATAATTGTTCATTTGTAACGCATATACTTGTTCAAATTTTTTTTGTACTCGAGTAAAGACTGTATAACCACTTTGTTGTAATTGCATAAAAATAATTATTAAAAAATGTTCTGTACTTTCAAAACTTATAGGCACTATAGGCAGTAAGATACTTTTTGTATTGTATTATTTTGTTATTACAAGAAAATGTTACCACAGAAAATATAGGCGTACTAATATTTTAAAGAAAATTTGACAAATCCCTACCACGTACAGAAAATCAAAATATTTCTCTCCCTCGCAACATCAGAAGTCATAACGTCTTGGTGGTAATTGACGTGAAGAATGCCTTCAGCTCCGTGCCGAGGGAGCACTTGGATGAGGCCCTTTGACGCAGAAGTTTCCCTCATCAACTAGTTAAAACGTTATGATCTTACATGGAGACAGGTGCATACCGGATCCTTTTTCTCTACCGGGAAACTGGATATAATTAGGGCCCACTTAATATAAATACCAATAGAAATGAGTCTCATGTATACCTATCTATAACAATAGCCAGGTTATCTACCCATTTCTTACACAAAACTATAAAATAACCATGAACTTAAATAATAAACCAAATCTAAATTTTGATTTAAGTTTTATAAAAATAAATATATACACAACAATATTAAAATAATTATTTTTATATAAGTTATCTTGAATAAATTGTAAATTAAATAATAAAAAAAAAAAATTTAAAACGTCGTATTAATATGAAAAGTATACTTTTAAAAATAGTTCAATACAAGTAAAATAATATATAAATCGTTCAGTAAAATTTTTCAAAACCGAACTTTCAACATTCTTAACATTTCTTTATTTTTATAGTTCAACATTTTGAAAACGATCGTTTACACGTTAGTTGAATAAAGGAATTGTTATGAGAAACTTGTAAACTTCAAAAAATCCATTGTACTCTGAAGCATGCACAAAAAATTTAAATTATTAACGATTGTACACAAAAAAAAAATATAAATATTTATATTTTATTTATAAAATGTTGGTTGTAAGAAATTCAAATAAATAAATAATTTATGTTTTAAAAATGACAATATTCCTTATGCTTTCATATTTTTCATTATTATTAGTTTGTAAAAGCCATAATAAATTTAATTTAATTTAATTACTCGTAAAAAGGAAAAAATGCTTTAACCAACGAAACAATTGCTGCTTGTGTTTCACTAAGAATGACTAAAATTTAAAAAAAATAATATAATAAATTTGTAATTTTATATTTATCCTTAGAAAATACTCGTACAATATTCTTTAGGCGCGTGAACAATTTTCAAAACCTAAAAAGGAAAAATTTGGCAGTTGAACCAAAAAAGGTACGCCACCCCTACTTTAGAGAATATATATTGAACTCATAAATAACATTTGTTATGTATAATAAAGACAAATTAAATTTTTGTTCTTGTACACATTATATTACTATCATTTTCCTGAGAATAAACAAAATCATCGTTGATAATTATTAGGTAATCCAAGTAATTTTTCAAAAACTTTATTGTAAACAAATACAGTCGGAGTATACCATGTACCCGCATGCCTTACTGTATCGTAACGAAAAATCTCACCCGAAACTCGGTCGTTCAAGGTAGCGCTTTTGCCATTCCGACATTGGGTATGGTCTCCTCGGAATGCCATGGTGCTGGTCGTTCGATGATCTCGGAAATCGGTCAACGATCTGAACATCACGGCCGAAGGCATATTTTATCTTTTCATATTTATGCCTTCGACAATGATGATCATCGTTGACCAATACACTCGCGGATAATACGCAGTACCCTATTATCGTCTGTCGCGGAACACGACCGGACTGTGATTTATCGCCCGTACCTGCCGCCGGCGTCCTTCCAGCCACCGATATCGTCTTAGTCGCGTCCATTTCGTCAGCGGCCTCTCTCCTGGGCTATCTTTTCGGGCCACGAGCACCGTTTCCAAGTCCCTTCGTCGCGCCATGCCGGTTTCGCGTACCCGAAATCGTTGTCAGCCGCCAGCGACTGCAATATCTGTGACAGATTGACGTCGGCTGGAAACGTTGGCGACGATGCGTTCATCTTTTACTGCACGATGTCCAGTGACAGATTCAACGGAACACGATTCGGTACCGAATTGGCGTCGAACCGTCTCGATATGATTTAGTTTTTAAAATTTAACACTGCTGCGCTCCTGCGTGCTTTGTTGTTTTTAACATTCAACACAATCTCGGACGGATCTCGACGACTCCGGTTGTTGTTACTGTAACATTATGGATTGTTGCGGTTCAAGATTTCTACTATTTTTATATCGGCTAGCAGCATAAATTTATATACATATATACGTAGATCAAACATATACACTACAAACGCGAGTACGAGAATAATTATTAAATTAATATTTAATAAAAAATTAAAAAAAAACTCTACGCAGTTTTTTTAGTTTCCATAAAATGTATTATGCTGCGTTCGAGAGAGAATGTATACTTTTAAATTTTAGTCTCTTCAATTATTTAATTAAAATTGTAAAAAATAATAAAATTACTGTATTTAACTGAAACTACAGGTACCTATTTGGCAAGGGGCCCAGGTCTTATAATTTTTAAGAGGGCCTACCGGGATTTTTCCGATACCCCGGTGGGCAAGTACGCGCCTGCACGGAGAGATCGATATTCGTCAATTGCGCCGAATTTAGGATACTACCTGTATAGTAT